CTTTCAAATGAAAGGTAAGAAAAGAACATTAAAAACTACAATGGTTTTTTTATACGATAAAACAACCCAAAAAGGTTTTTGTGCGCTTCATTCAATAACCCAGCACTTAGAAAGAAACTGACAACGTTGACCCCCATTTTTCCTCTTATAAAAGAAAACAACGATTATGAAAACAAACTAACTAATGAACGCAATAATTTTATGATTGACTTATTTTTGCAATCCATGCAATTTCTTTTTTTTTTTTTTCAGATGCGGTAGCAAATACAGGTTGGTCGTACCCTTCATTTGTAACAGGGATTCAGGGGCAGAACATCACTATTACATATGTTGCCAATCTATCCGACCATGCTTCAGGAGTAACATGGAAATTTGTGAGAGTAACTAAGGACGGTAATCAAATGATAAGCATCAAACCTGGGGAACAAAAAACAGTGCACTCTCCTTTTGACAGTCGTACTTCTGACGTTGATCTAAATGTCACTCAGACCGATGCTATAGTAACCATCAAGTTTACGTTGTGCAATTTAATCAAGGCTACAGACGAAGGACAATACTCAATCAATCCGTTTGGAACTAGTGACTTCGAAGGAAGTTCCACTCCATCATCGACATCGCTGTCCATAAATGGTAAGTGCTGCTAAAATAGCTCATAGCTCCACATGTTACTTTTTTAAAAATAAGGGCTCGTGCACATTAGGTCCATTTTAGCTCGATCTAGTTTGGATCGATTCGAGCTCCGTTTTCGAGAACTTTTGTACTATATACGACCATGAATAAACAACAACAACACAGGTAGCCTAAACAAAACCAACTAATTTAATAATGTGCCGTCGAACATCAAATACAAAACTTTGATTTCTTGATTCTTTTTATGCAGTAAAGACAGCTATCACTAGTCCAAACCCAAGTACTATCACTGTTAACGAAACACAGCCTGCACAGCTTGAATGTACTGCAACTGGTCACCCTACACCCAGTTTTAACTGGACAAGAGATGGTGTGATGGTTGGCACAGGAAGCCCATACACTACACCAGGAGTTACATCTAACGATGACAAGGCGTGTTATACGTGTGTAGCTTATAATGGAATCCTTGATGCCAAGACCGCTAACGTCTGTCTAAACGTTCAATGTAAGTACGCAAATACGCGAATACAAATTTACGTGTGTTTTAGTTTGTTCGAAGTGCAAAGGGTATTTTTGAGCAACAAAGACTTTCTATATATATTTAAGACATTCAATTTTTGAAACTTTTTTCTTTTTATGTATTTTTTAGACAATCCAAGAAACGCAACAATTTTGAGTGACAGATCAACAGTTTGCCAGAATGATAAAGTGAATCTGACCTGTACATCAGGACCAGCCAACCCAGCACCCAGCAGTTACGAGTTTTATGACAATGGTGTTCTTGTTAGAACCAGTGCATCCAACGTTTATGAAGCTACAGCTACTGCAGGCTTACCATCTGTAAACARGTTTGTTTGTGTACCAAGAAATCTTCTGGGAACCTCCTTGGAAAATGGAAGTGTGGAAGTGACTGCAAAAGGTAGTTTTATAATATTTCTTTTAATTTCCGAAGAACGGATAATCGCAAAAAAGCCCGACGAGCAAAACACGTAGTGTTTAGATCGCTAAGTTGACCCATGTCTGTTGTACAATTGATTTTTGATAAACTTTAGTTTTGTATCAATTGTGAATTTGTTTTGCAGCTGCTCCCACGGAGAAATCACTTGGACAAATCTTTATTGAAGACATAAATGCCAATCTTATCAAATCAATATTTTGGGCTTGTTATCTGTCTACTGAAATATTTTGATCTTACTTGAGCTAATGTTTTCTATTGACATTCAAGCTTCCAAATAAGTTACACGTAAGGGACGTCTGACAATCGTTTATCATACTAGGCTTTTAACAAGACGGCTAAATAGGTGATTATCTCCTAACTATAGCTTTTTCAAAACAGATTTATTACAATTTATCTATCTTTAATAGCGTGTTATCATTTTATTGATCACATTTTTAGTGGCGCCAGCAATAGTTACGTCACCTCTCCCCACGACTCTTTTGGAGGGAAGTTCTTTAACACTATTTTGCAATGCCTCTGGAGTACCTGCACCAGACATCACGTGGACCAAGGTTGGTGGAGGCATTGTTGGCAGTACTGAGACATTTACCATAAGAAGCGTCAAGAGAGGATACGAGGGGTTCTACAGATGCACATCAAGCAACGGCGATGAGTGCAGCAATGTCACTGCTGACGCAAATGTTGTTGTAAACTGTAAGTCTTTCTATACAATTGTCTATTACATGTGATATAAAGATATTTATATGAATGAATTCTACTTGATTAAGACATGCTTCATAAAAATTGGGAAATGACAAATTAATTAAAGCTAAGATTAATACCGGGCAATGATGCGCAATGTGCAATGATATTGAGAGCTTGTTCTACGGCATATTCAGTCGTGCAATTTCGTAATCACGAGTATGATTCCACTAGTCAACTTCACTCCCTCCCCTTGCACCCAAAATATCATTATCAAGGCATTTTAAGTATGTTGCTATCAAGACCTTTTAATAACATTTCATTCTATCTCATCCCTTTCTAGACAAACCAGAACTCACGACTCTGACCAGCACAAAGACTGAGGCCTGTCTGAATGACTCAGTTACGTTACAATGTACGACAAATACCAACCCACCAGCACATGAATATCGCTTCTACTTGAATGATCATGATCAGCTTGTACATACCAGCATGTCTGGAGTCTATCAGTTGAATGTTCCACAAGCAGGCAATAACACATACAAGTGTGAACCAAAGAACACTGTTGGAGCTGGAAAGAATGCATCGGTGACGATAAGCACTAAGGGTAAGAGTCTCTTGGGTATGAAAGTAAGTTTAATTTTCTGGGATTTTTTTGGCTTCGAAGATGTTGCTATAAAGTACAATTTAAGGTGGATAAAACAAAAGTCAATTTATACCTTATTAATGAAGAAATATAAAACAGTTTTCCTTGCATGATAAGCTGATTAAAACGTTGTAACGTTGTACCTAAAATATTTCATAATATTTCATATATTAAACGTTCATATCTTTTTTTAATCAAATATTTTCTTACCCTGACATTTTTCTTTTCATAAACGAAGTAAGCCCAATAATAGTCAACACAACACCGAGTCAAGAAGTACGGGAAGGATCGAGTCACACTCTCTATTGTAGAGTTGAAGCTCAAGGTGAAGACATCAATGTGACTTGGCATAAAGTTGGAAGTGGTCAAGTATCCAGTAAAGATGTATATACCATACCATCTGTTACACATGCTGATTCAGGTTCATACGAATGCAGAGCTAAGACTGGTAATGAGTGTGAAGTGAAAAGCACCATGATAAAACTCACTGTGATTTGTAAGTAATATTTTACAATAACAGATCGTAGTTTTGCAATCTGATTGGCTGACAGCTATTATCAATAAGAGGACAGACTCATTGAACGAGGAAACGGTCGTAGATGTTTTTCTTCTTCTGTTATTGTAAAAATCCAATTGCACATAGATTTCCATTGACAGTCCTCTTATCTGATCCTCTTATCTCCTCTTATCATAGATGATCTCTTAAAATGTTCAAAACTTTTACAGTGAAACCATATACCATTTTTTAAAACAACTGATCCTCGTGACTGTACATGATTGTTAACTAAGCATTGACTATTGCCTTTATATACATCAGCCATAGCTACGAGCGTAAGTCACATTGTCAATCCACAATGATTGAGCAAATACTTTGTGTTCTATCAGACAGTTTTATGACTGAAAAAAGAGCAACGCATCAAGAAACTTTCATCCAATTCATTATCATAGTCAGTAGCCAGGCAATGTTATCACCTTGAGTTAGGTGATTTGCAGGCACACGATTTGCTTAATTTGTTGGATACGTTTTCCATCTTAGCACCTCCAATCATCAGCAACATCATAGTAACAGAAGAAAGTCTAACAGTTACCTGGAATAACCTGGTTTTACCTCATAACACGATAGCAACATGCTTGATATATGTGATGCAATCATTCCATGGTGACAACTGGATGACGTCTTCAAACACCAGCAATGAAGATTCAATAACATGTTCAATTGCCGAGTTGAAATCATCTACCTTTTATCGTATGCAGTATTTCTTACAAATCCACAAGAACTATGTAAATGGCACTATCTACATAGGAACTCCTGCTAAAGGTACGTGCCAACTATGATTGAGGTAGATTGTGCCATTTTGCTATGATGGTGGTTCTAGAATGAGTGCTCCATTCTGCTCAGCCCATCATCAATGTCAATATAAATAAAGCTAACATTTTTCTTGTTTAAAGTCAATAGAACAGGAGCAAGCTCAAACCATTCGACATGTGATACAGGAAAAGCTGGGAATATTTCATCTGGGGTGTCATCCACCATTCTTGTAGCTGTCATTGCTACTGTTGCAATTGCAGTTATTGTGCTTCTCATATTGGTTATCGTATGGATGCGATTTCGAGGTTTGTTTGATGGCTGTTCATGAATTAAGATTTAACATAATTTTTGATAAATAGAAGGAAATAATGTACGACATGCAATAAAAGGACTAAAATTTAAAAAACGTTTGATTTTAATTTTTATATTCTCCTTTAAATTTTTTGAATTCAATTTTCTCTTTTTCAATATTTAGGCATACGAAACGACAAAAGGTATGTACAAATATTCAATTTATTCAACAATAAAGAAGAATAGCATATACAATAATTGATGAGGCCAAAGCAACAGGCTTATGGGAAACGAGAAATAAAGTAAAGAAAAAGAAAACAAAAACAAAAAACAACAACAACAAAGAGCGAACAACGAACAAACGAACAAACAAACAAGTTTAGATGTAAAATTCTGAGTGAATTTATTATTTTTATTTTAAACTATATATAACATTGTTTCTTTCAATATTTTATTATTTCAGAATCAAAAGACAAGAAAAAAACCAGGTAAGGTGATTCAGTTTGTGGAATATATTGGAAACGCAGAATATCCCTACCGTTTGGATCTAGCGATGCTGACGATAGAGTGACAAATCTTTATTACTATTTCGATTATTGTCTGATTCAGTGGGTCTTTATATATCCCTTAGCAATACGCGTTTATTTATTTCAACAACAAAGTTATTTTAAAAGGTAGTTAAACATTAACTGATTATGCATAACAGTGCCTTAATGTTATTTCTTTCAGAGGGACGTTGTTGTCAGTCAATCCTCGTTTTCAACACCATCTTTTGATACTAAGACTGTTTACGAGAACGAGGGTTTTATTTCCCGCCAAACCAAACCAGACGCAGATATGGCTCTGTACGAGCAAGTACAAAACATAGGCCGTGTAATGAATCAAGGTGTCGTTGGACCGCCTTCCTTTCCGATGGATTATATACCAGGAAGACAAGCAAGACATGAAACCGAGAACCAGGTGCTATCACAATTGAAGGAGCCTTCTTATCAGGCACTGGATCAAAGAGAAATGGCTGGTACAAAGGGTGTTAATGTTAATGAAGGGTCTTATGGACATCTGTTGGGATTCACAAGGAGTCCAGATAATACAACTGCAGCTGCGTTACCTCAAGACCAAAACCCTTACCAGGCTATGCAGCCTGAGAATCGGTCCACACAATATCAGTCACTTCAAAACATGCATAGACCTTCATTAAATGTGTGAGATTTAGAGAGATGTAAAACACGCCATAATAATACTACCTCTTTACATTGAATTGGGTGTAGTGTTTTCACATTTAAAACCACGTGTCATTTTTCACGACTTTGGTATAAGTTTTTCTGTTATAAACTTATTTAGCTAATAATGTCATTCGCACGGAATCCCTGCATGTGGTTTAAAGCTTGTCCTATTTTGAATTTTGGGCTTCCTTTGCCAAATGCTAGGCTTCTAAGCTAAATCCAAGATGGCGGAAATTAAAGTGTTTCATCGCTATGACATCTGCAAATTTTTATTGATATTTTCGACAATTTAAAGCTGTAAATGGCGGGAAAATCCCGAATAAAAAGAAATCTATGTTCTGTTACAAATAAGGTAAGCTTATCAAGTATGGATATATAGAGCTCATGAACACGCAAATAACGACAATTTTGCTCAAATTTCGCAGTATGTCCTTTGTAACAGTTACCCCCTTTTTCCTAGATTTCGTGATAAAATCTTTTTTATAGTCAGTGCCCCCTTTTTAAAATTCCTGGAATTACCCCTGTGAGGATACCCTTATACAACTGTGCTTCCCAGTCCTCCTGCAATCATACGTACAGATCCTGCCCCTGGATTCAAGACACTAGATGACGACAAAGTCTTAAACTAACAAAATCACTCTGCAGCTAGGACGCACCAAAAACCCTATCATGCCTGAGAACGCTGTAGCTAGAACCTTTTAGCAAGACCCACTATAGGTGGAGCTATCACAAATCTTACCCTGGCAGTAGCCACTGATCCTTAAACTCACGCATCCGCTCACATGGACTCACCTCTCGAGAAAAGTGCAGCCAAAGAGATAAGTTTTCCAATGCCAAAATACTACTAAACGACGACAACATGCAGTTCTTTACTTAACATAAGCAACGTCTTACGAGGCCCCACATACAAGAAAAAATGAACACATCTTCCTCGGCCTCTGTTCATATATCTAATCGACGTTTGATAAACTTAAATTGTGTAATATTTTATCTTTTTATTAAGACCCTGGTGCCCTGATGAACTTCTTTCAATCCTTGATACAGTGGAAAAACGTTGCCTTAAGGTAATTCCCTTGAAAGAAATTTTGTCAATAATTTTGTCCTGAAACTTTTCATTGAACTAACTATGTTGTGGACATTTAAAAACTGCAATAAAAAGATGGCGTCACCATTCTCGTATTTTTGCTAGATGTTCTCCACATATGTCAATTTATGGGTTTTATAGTGAAATGCGGTAGCAACCGGAAGCTGTAATCAAGAACATTTAATCACAGTTGAAAGTCTTTCATATGATAAAACGTACTTATAACTCGAAGTTTACTAGATAATCTATACTTTTAAATCCATCAAATTCATTTGACTTTTAAACTTTCCTTCGTATTTTGATATAATGACGAGCATCGCATTTATCAAAAATCTGGGGGGGAAAATGGGGTTCACCATTCTTGTTTTTGATTTGTCTTGAAAAAACAACCCAAAATAGTCGAAAACTGACACTTTTTCACAATTTTTTTCCACTGCCCTCTCTAGCTCTCTCTAATTTCAGATCTTCGACCGACAACGTTTATTGAAGTAGGTGTATACTTTAGAGACAAAATCAAAAGTCATTGAAGCCAAGAAAGCTGACATTTATGAAGCTATAAGCATCAAAATCCAACACCCTTCTGGAAATTTTATTGTATAGAACGGAAATTTTATGCTGATTATTAGGGTATACAACCCGCCCACCACTAACATCTAGCATGAGTGTACTGTTGTTTGTGGCGGAGATCTTTGAATAAACTAAATATTGATAACTTGCTGTCGATGATTGACAGCATAGCTCAGCTACTCAACTCGATTAGTCTAGCTATTCTGAGTATAGCTATTACCAATACCTGTTTTAATATTATCTTGTATTGTCTTGAAATTATGGTAATAAAGCTCAAGCAATCATTTGGTAGACTCCCAAACACGAAAAAGCTCTATTTTGGATAATTGCCTTACAAACAGACCGTCACTTTTTGGAAAATGTTACCCCAAAGGTGCATTAGTTAAAGCCATTTACAAGGGAGTTATCCTACTGGTTCGAAACTGAAACCACTACGATTAATAATGATTTAAAATTTATAAATTTATATTGCGCAGATTACATATAATGATCAAATGCGCCTTACAATTAATACTACTTATTATTACTACTAACCAAATA